TAACATGCGAGAATTAGGAAATATTTAAGTCGTTCAGTCACCGAATCATTAGTTCATGCTTTTATCACCAGTAGAATAGATTATTGTAACAGTCTACTATATGGCCTCCCGAATTCACATATCATGAAACTCCAACGGATACAGAATGCCGCGGCTCGGTTGGTCACCGGAACACCTAGATTCTGCCATGTTACACCATTGCTTTTCACCTTCATTGGCTTCCAATAAGTTACCGTATAAAGTTTAAGATTCTACTTTTGACATTTAAGTGCTTATATGGTCAAGCTCCTAATTATCTAATTGATTTCATTACTACCAAAAAGCAATCCAAGTACTCTCTAAGGTCAAATGAGTCTATATTCCTCGAGTTACCATGCATTAAGACCCATCCAACTCTTGGCGATCGTGCATTCCAGTCAGCTGCACCTTATCTCTGGAATGCATTGCCTTCGGAAATTCGCAACATGAAGACATTGGACACTTTTAAGACTGCTGTTAAAACTCATTTTTTCAATTTAGCTTTTAAATAGATTTAATTGTTGGCTTTTATAATAGTTTTTTTTTTTTTTTTTATTTTTTTTTATTTATAGTTTTTAATACTTTTTATTGTAGTTTTTAATAGTTGCTCATGCTTTAGTCACCTTTAACATAAATTTAATATAACAATATTGTAAAGCGCAACCGAATATATTCATATAGAGGTTTGCGCTATATAAATGTAAATTATTATTATTATTATTATTACATCATATTCTAATTGGGTCCTCGAAATAAACAAACAGTCATAACACAGTACTCAGCATAAACACTTCTGTTCTATTGCGAGTGTTTCTTCTTCAACAGGTTTCTTAACATAAACAAAATATTTAACAGATAAGTGATATTCATGCAGCTACTGACAGTACTTCCATATTATTCCATATCACTGAGAAGTGTGAAGAGTTGGTTATATGTTAGAAATATATGAATTAATAGTGATGAATAATTTTGCCACATCACGTTGCAAGCTGTTAATAACAGACCAGAAATTATACATGAGAAGAAGTTTACAATATTGAAGTATGGTGAGCACATTTACCTTCTTTTCCAAATTCTTCCTCTTAGTGTAAAGCTAGCCTTTTTGACACTCCAAGTTTATATCACTTGAAATTAAATGTGTGGAACATGTCTATTTTTTATTAGTAAAATCCGACTAGTGGTCTATTATCAGTGCTGCATTTTGATTCGTTGAGCTACTACTAAGCTATATGTTATAGCCCACTAGTAGCAAAAAGCGACGGCTTTGAAAACCAAAACAATGGCTTAAAGTTGTTTTGTCTCAATATTCTTGGCCAGCTAGTTGGATTTTGTTAAAACATTTAGTTCTCTCGCCCTCATAGCCTCTGGGTCAATAGCTATTGCCTCAGAGCCCAGTCGGGCTCGAGGGAAAATTATTAATTACATATTTGAACAAATCATTGGTTCAAAGTAGATACACTTATTGGATTCCAAAATTAGTATAATTTGTGTTTTACATCACTAGGAAGACATCTAATTTAGCAAAATAGTAAAACCACTTAAATTCAGATAAGTTAAAGGCCCATGTTCACCCACGTGGATTTGGGCGCTTGTCCCTTTGTTTGGGAAAAATCCATCTATTGAATGCATTGTTCTGATTGGCTTTCAATTCTCAAATGGCAATTTTTAACTACACAAAATTCTCACAATGCATTTAAGGTGACAATTGGCCTTAGCTTCAAGGACATCCAGAGCAGGTCGGAATCCTCTCTCTCTTTTTGAAGTACATTTTAGCGATATGCTTGACAAGTAACAATTTAAATTAGCAAAGAAGAATGTAAAATATAGTTTACAGTACCTGTATGAAAACTTCTCTGCTCCTTGGAGTGTATTGCTCTGTTGTTCGTTTTGAATTGGGAGTCATTGTCTCTAGTGTCTCCATGATCTACCTATTTTTTAAATAGAAGGTTGTATATTAACATCCATGGCCTCAACGCCTGCAGCTATTATCTTAAAACTTAAAGATCTTTTCATTTCGATCAACTTAAAGGTATAATCAATACCCCTGGCCAACATCAAAATCAGGACTTGCCTCTGGGGTCTCTTGGGGAGTTGTAAAAACTTCTGCATCACTTTCCTCTGCAAAACAATAACAATCTTACATCAAACCATTAGATACCATACAAAATGCAAAATGTATGATCACAGGTAAGATTTACACGACAATTTGTGCAATGATCTGATGTTTTGTGGAGATCTCCTTTTCCATTATATTATCAGTACATCACCACCGGACCTAAGTCATTCACTCGCATTTACACTTACTTGGCATAATATTTAGGTCAGGGATTAAAAGTTTAATAACTTGCAAATCTACTATTTATTAGCTAAGCTTCTACAAGTTTTTCGAGCTTGGCAGAAAGCTGGTTGATGCTGTCCCTTGATTTTTGCACTGAGCACCTGGGCAGTACTATTGGAGCCAGTAATTTCACCTTCAATTAATGTTCCATTGACAAAGTCTTGAACATCCTCTTCATTGCCTGCATTTCCTGTTGCTATAAATGAGACAATTATGGTGGGATTTGATTAAATATCGTGGAATAGTAATAATTGTTGAACAAACTGTAATACAGCAGAAGCTCATAGATGTATGAGCAGAAGCAGTTCTACCTGTGAGTGTCCCTGCACAAATTAACTCCATTTTAAGTCCCATGTAAACTCTGTACATGTGTATATACACAGCTATTTCGAGAAAGGTTGTCGGCAAAATGGACGTGACAATCCCGAAAGGTATTGTGGGTGGTTTTGAGTTCACTGTTCTTCAAAGAAATTTTAAAGAATGGCACGAGAAGCCATGGACATATGTTTGTGGGTGCTAAAGGAGAGCAACAATGGAAGATTAGACAGCTACAGTGTCAGGAACAGCGTACTGATTATATCCCATATTACCATTTGGGATTGTCGTGGGCACATTTTTCCCTACAACCTTACTCGAAATAGCTATATACATTCCCATAATGAGACATAAGGCCATATACACTTTCTGGGGTTAGGATTGAGACTTTCTCTTTGTTTAAAAGCTAAAGTAACTAGACACCCAAAAGGAGATCCCATTACCCCTCTCTACTTTCTACTTTATGCTATATAGTTGTCTGTGGAGAATTGTTACCATTTACTTATTGTTAGAAAAAGTAGTTAAAAGCCCTGTAACCTCAAGTCCACCCTGAAGAAATCTTGCTCCCGTTGACGCATTTTGCTTAATAAAATAAGCCTCACCCCCTCTTTTAAGTCCGCACCCCCCCTCAAAAGTGCTTGAAAATAATATGTCCTGGGGGGGCTTAACAGAGGATTTACGGTATCCTCAAAATCTTTTTGAATTAAACTTTACATCACTTTTTGTCACAATATTTTACAGAACAGAGTATGCCATGCAGATACATTTCGTTACCCATCAACTGTGTATATTGCACAGACATTTTGAAGTGGATTCAATTATTATTAGGAAAAATTTGCTCTAACCTGCATCTATCAGAGCCACTAAGTTGCTATTGAGTTCCCTCTTTGGAAACTTGATACAAGGTCACTTGTTGAGCATTCACTCCCATTTTCAAAGGCAATTGCCACATCAACGCAAGATGCACCATACTTCTCTGCCTCAGTTGAAAGTTCCCATGTAGGGCACAAAGATTGAAGAATGATTGCACACTGCTACCTGCGCATATAGCCTATTAAGAAATTACATATATGGAAACAGTAAAAGTGAAGAAGGGCTCCCGTAGAAGCCTGTTTGTTGACTGTTAGTATACTGTCGGCCAACAGTTTACCGACAGTTGACCTACAGTAAACCGACACTGCTATAAACACTGAAACACTATAAAAATTCCCGCATCTAAAACAAAACTGTTTGTTTCTAAAATTGCAGATTTCCTCTTCAATCTAGTATCATACTTGTCTTGAGACTTCTGCCCACCGATCAGTAGTTTTGGCCCTGATGCCAATTCCAGGCACAAAACTTTTTCCTCCACTGTTCTGAGTGTTGACATTCACAGATGGGTGAAGCCAGGAAAGGACCGAAATTTGGACGGAACAATATGATAAGAAATTTAAAAATTAAACGAGACTTACCTGTAAGTTGAAGTTTGATTGTGATTCTACCGAGTTACAGAATGCTGAGAGATTACATGAGATAGCAAGCGCATGGGCCAATCAGGTTTTAAAGACTGAATGTACATGTTACCCAACAGCAGAGGGGAGGGTAGGGAAATTGGTCATGTAATCTAACAGCATTCTGTAACTCGGTAGAATCACAATCAAACTTCAACTTACAGCTAAGTCTCGTCTAATTTGTAAATTCTATCTCGTTACCATGCTGAGAGATTCCATGAGACGTCAAAGCAACACGGACATGAAGGAACAATAACATGCCACTTTAATAGTAATATGTAAGTGATACATTTTACATAGATGACAAGACTGATCTTGCATAATTTGAAGTCTTAGCTATAGGTTTGTTGTAAAAACGAGCAAAGCAGCATTCAGATGACCACCCTGCAGTTTGGAGAATGTCATCTAGATTTACAGAAGCCCTGCTTGCTGCTGAAACAGATGCAGCCCTTGTACTATGAGCTGAATATTTTGTTACATCAATACCAGCTAAAGCCATAGTGTATCGCACCCACCTAGTGACTGTATCCCTGCTTACGGGCTTATAAGGTTTAACGTAACTTATCAAAAGCTGTGACTGGCCGCTAGGTCTCAATACTTTAGTTCTTACAAGGTATTCCGTAAGCGTAGTAACAACACAAATAGAGGGTCGTTCAAATGATTCCAGAACAACCTGAGGGTTAGGTACCCCTGGTTTGCTTTGTTTTTGGTGGCTAGGGATGACAAATGTGTATTTGGCATCATTCACAAACATATGATTTATGTCTAACAAGTGAATAGTCTGGCCTCATTGGCAACAACATAACAAGTTTCAATGTAAGCTGTTTAAGTGTCAACGATTCAACAGGATGAAGTGTAGCCAGGTACGTTAAGACCACTTGGACATCCCAAGTTTCTGTATATTTGGGCTTGGGTGGTCGTGACTGGAAAACACCTTTCAACAGGCGACAAACTAGCGGGTTCTGTCCAACTTCAGAGCCATCATCCAATGACACATAAGAAGACAATGCACTTCTAGCACAGTTGATAGCACTGTAAGTAAGTCCTTGGTCAAAAAGTTCAGAAAGGAAATCCAAGACTGTTCCTACAGGTGGTTGAAGATGATCGACTTTCCTCTGGAGACAAAATGCTGTCCATTTCTTGATGTACCCGGAGTACTGTTTCTTAGTTCCCCCCCGCCAGGATACCATGAGCAATCCAATAGCTGACTTCGATACTCCTCTTGTTTCATGGTACTGCCGGACAAGAGACATGTCATCAGTCTCATTTGCTTTCTCAGAGGATGTAGAGTCCCTTGCTGTGGTAGGGTGAGGAGGTCCTTGTCTTGTGGGAGCATTAATGGATTTGCCACAAGAAGGCTTAGTAGCCGGGGCCACCAAACCTGTTTGGGCCACACAGGAGCCACCAACAGTGCTAAAGTCTGATCCTTTTCTAATTTCTGCAGACATCTGTTAAGCAGAGAAAAGGGAGGAAAAATGTAAACAAACTGTCCACTCCAGGAAAACGAGAAGGCATCTACGTGGCAGGCTCCAGGGTCAGGCTTCCAAGAAACATATTTTGGAAGCTGGTTGTTAAGTCTGCATGCAAACAGATCAATCTCAGGAGTACCCAGTATGTCAGTAATCTTACAGAATATATCTGGTTGAAGCTGCCACTCAGTTCTCTCATTAAATTGTCTGGAGCTTATGTCTGCCTCAATCAACCAGATACCATTTTCCATACAGTACATCCAAACACTTTTAGCAAGTTTGTTGCACGGAGGGGATTTAGTGTCCCCATTGCATTAAGATAGCAGACAGTTGTAGAATTGTCAGTTTTAATGCACACATGCTTTCCTTTTAATAAGGGCTGGAAGGATTTAAAACCAAAATAGACTGCTAATAATTCAAGTTCATTAATGTGCTTTTGTTTTTCAAATGGGGACCACATGCCTTGGGCACTTTGTCCATTGCATACGGCCCCCAGCCTAATTTCGATGCATCTGTTGCCATTTCTATATCTGGGTTGTCCATGGTGATACTTTTGCATGCTGTAGGTAGGTTAGTGACCCACCAGCGAAGCTCACTGATAGATTCTGAGGAGAGGGTCATATTAGCGTCATAGTTGCCATTATTTTGTTGCAAAGCTCTATTTTTGTCAATTTCAAGACTCCTGTAAAAAAGGGGTCCATACTGGACAGCAGGCAAACTAGAGACCAGAAGTCCAATGACCTGGGCAACTTCTCTTATAGAAATTATACTTTTCTTTAGCAGTTGTTGGCATGCCAAAATTATTTTCTCGGTTTTTTCTGCCGTAAAAAATACTTTCATGTTGACAGAATCTAAAAGAAAACCAAGAAATGCCAATTTCTGACATGGTTGCAACACTGACTTTTCATGATTGATCAGGAATCCTAGAGACTCAAATAGGATTAGGGTAGTAAGAATATTACTTCTGCAGTCTGTCTTTGAGTCTCCCTGTAAATATGAGTCATCTATATAGCCAACATTTAAGTAGCCTTGGCTACGCAATGTGCTATACACTGGTTTCAATAGTTTTGTAAAGTATCTTGGTGCAGATGCTAGGCCGTTAGGGAGACGTGTGTACTGAAACAGCCTATTTCTCCAGAAAAACCTTAAATATTTCCTGTGCTCAACAGCCACAGGAACAGTGTAATATGCGTCTGTTAGGTCTAGAGAAGCCATATAACAGTTTTTCTTCATTAACTGGATAGCACATGTTCGGCTTTCCATTTTAAAATGTTGATACTCTATGGATGCATTCAGTCCTTTTAGATTCAAGATCAGTCTGTAAGAACCATTTTTTTTTCTGAGAAAAATTGTGGAGACATACTGACCATAACTAGGGTCAGTCTCCTCAAGAACCCCTTTGTTAAGCAATTGTTTTATTTCACCATCAATAAGTGAAGCCTCTTCAGAGTTAAATCTAACTGGAGGCTTAGGATATTGTTGATAGGGGTGTTCAGTAAACTCAAGATGACAGTGTTCAACCATGTCAAGAATTTTTCTGTCTGATGTAATTTCCATCCAGGCAGAGAGAAAGTATTTAAGCCTGCCAGCAATTTGCAACTCTTTGTCCCTTACCTCAACGTTTTGGTCATGAATTAGTTGTGGTTCTTCTGAGCAGCCTTCCTCCCCCCTCCTTCTTGCTGAAGAGGGGGCAGCGGTAGTTTTTTGACAGCCCAGAATAATAATTATTATTCCTGTATTTGTCTTGGTATCTGTCTGAGTGACCATCACTTCGTGATCTTTTGAAGCTCTGCTTAGTTTCTCTACTGAGCTTGGAAGTGATTCGGTTGGTATCAGTAATGTCTTTTACCGCCTTGGGTAGATCATCTCCAAAAAGCTCAGTTGTTATTGGGTTTGAGGGAGCACAAAGATAGCAGTAGCTTGTGCGAAGCTCCGGTTTTAGAGCCTCCCTACACCTCAGATTTAACTCTGTGTTAGAATTAGCCATCAACAGAACACCATCCATGAGTTGGTTAACTAGTTGACCCTTTGATGGCATATCTAGCTTGCTCATCAGGTCATTTACAACCTGGACCACCTGCAGTTGTACCCTTAATAAGGGATTTTTGCACCTTCTGGAATTTAAGATCTGAGGTACGTGCTCTCTCTGAAAGATTATTCCAGATTGGTAGGTTGACCCTAGTTTCGGCCAGCATATCACAGTTTTTTGGCCTGAGATACCGTTTTTTGATTTCATTCAGCTTATCTTCCTCAGGTTTGTCTTTCAATAACTTTTGGACAATAGCGGCTAAGTTTCCATGAATTTCAGCGCCATCTTGTTCAGAGACATTAAACTCCTTTTCGAGTTTATTAAGTATGTCACTATTGTCCTTAGGCAGAGCAATGCCATCATCGGTTTTTTGTTTTTTACGAGCAGGTTCCTCAGGTTCTATGTCTGAGCGGCCGCCACGGCGTCGTTTTTTGCCTTGAGCAAATCGCCCAAATTGCTAAAACCCTTGTTCATCTCCACCGCAAGACTAGAAAAAGCCCCTTTGAGAAGGGCAGCCACGTCAGTGGTTAAACTTTGACCCGGGGTAGCAGATTGTTGTGAGCCGCTACGACGCTCTTTTGGCATGCTTTTTTCCCTCGAGGAACGGCTAGGTTTTGTCACATTTTTTTTTACCACTGCCGTCTCAGAGGCACCAGAGCCAGTAGAAGGTGCTTTCTCGCTCTTCTTTTGCAACTTGTCATCACATTTCAGCTCTGCGTCTTTTGACAGCGAGCCTTTGTGCTTTCCCGCTCGTGTTTTGCTTGATCCTGCAAAAAGCTCTTCGTCCCAGTCGTTCAAACTGGCGTCTAAGGCCGAGTCCATCTCTAGCAATTTGGAAATGGTAGTTTCCTTCGCTAAATTCAATGACTCTCTCATTTTTAGTAGATAAAAGAGCTGTATTTTTGGAAAAAATCCTCAAATACAGTGATAAAAAGTCAATCTGATCGGCGACAGACATTGCACTGATTGGCGCATGCGCTTGCTATCTCATCGAATCTCTCGGCATGGTAACGAGGTAGAATTGAAGTGATTCAAACATGCAACACTTAACAACGTATATGCTTGTAATTAACAAAGTAAACCATTCTTTATTTTATGTAAAAGAATTGTGCTCATTTCAATGAGTTAAAAGGGAAGATCAATTTTAACAAAGGCGGGATGAGTGATCAGTAACCACTTTTGTAAGTGACCAGCTCAAAGATACAATCAGTTTTAAAAATACTTGATGTGGTTGCTTAAATATTATGGGAGCTTCAACTGTATTCAAAATCATAGTCAGACATCAAACACTTCTGCCCTGTTTTATTTATTCCCATTAAAGAAATCTTAATTTGCATGTGCATGGGTTTCAACTTAAAATTATTTTCTACGTAAGATAACTTCTGCATAAGCGGAGGTCTTAAAATACAGTTGTTTGCCTACCATGCTTTTTGATGGGTTGGCCTTAATCTCCAAATAGATGGCCAGTTGGATTTTCTGGAGGGGTGTTAAAAAACTCGTAAGTGTGTCTTGAAATGACACGTGTTGCTGAATTATTTCAGACAGCCTGATCGGATGTTTAGTTGTGAGGAAAAGCTAGGAAGAAAGAAACAATGATATATGAATTTTTACCTTATGTAATCCAAATTCTAAACATACTAAACTGTAGCTTTTGCATGTTTATGTATTGTGTATGTCCATATTTGTCAACTAAAAACAACTTACAATTGCTTGTTTGACTATCACACCAGCAACTCCTTTTAACCACCTTGGCTGATAGGCAGGGAGTGCCTCTGAGAGTATAGGTGACACTCCAGAGACTATGTTCTGTTCTATTGCTGCTTGGAATAGACGATCGTTCCACACTGCCCACAATGTTAACAGTCCCTGAGATTGCATTATGTTATTAAATGTTCCTATTAGCAATTAAGTCATTTCTAGTTATTATCAGGGTCAGGAAGAAAAATTATCATCACATGGCACAGTGGAAATTTTCTGACTGTTGCGCCCTCTAAAAAAAATTGTGATGTATAGGACAGCGCCGTGTATATTTATTTAGCAATAAATTTTTAAGCCTCTCAAATTTAGTCTGTTAATGTGGGTGGTCTGGTGACTTTGGCATTTTGAACAACAATTACCCTGAATATTACAATAATTGTGAGTATATAAGATCTTGTTTATTTCTTTCTTCGAAACTCTGGTCCTTATACTATACCCTCATGACTCCCTGTCTCATCAAAGAAAATATTATGGTCCCAAACTTAACCTTCTTCCAAGTACGTTCAATAATTATTAAGTAACTATTGCTAAACATACATATTATATGACCAGAAAAATATTAAAGACTGAAGATCTTGCTGTGAAACTCACACCAGAAATATTTATGGAACATTATGGTGTGTCTTATGGGAAAAGCCAATCAGACATGTTAAAACAAAACTGTAAAAAGCAATGTTACCCGGTGTTAATTTGTCAGGGTTTTCAAGTTTCAAATAGAAAGTTTCATATTTTTACTTTGGCCAATAGGCCATTTCCACTAAGAGGTCACGTGTCATTCGCCGCCATGTTGGAGGGCAAACAAATCGGTTGCTATGCATTACTATGGAAAAAATGGCTGCCGCTTATGTCCGGGAAAGGTAAATATATCAAGTTTCCTCGCCATTTTTTGCTTTGTTTCAAAACAATGGGCTACTTACAGACATGTATGATGTGTACTAGTCTCAGATTCTATTAAAAATCGTTCATTTATTTATTGCTTTAAAAAATCGCTTTCGATGTTCCGTTTACTTCAACAGTTTGAACACACTTCCTCGCTGTTCGAATTTGCAAACTTATAGCCTTTATTGTCGTTTCACTGACCTTTCTTGCTTTCAAAGGGGTGTAAATATTTTCCTTTTTTCCTTTTTAGTTCAAATTATAGGCTTACAGTGATAGGTGGAAAAGATCGACTTAAGTTTAATCAGCTTTTTCTAGCTTGAATTTCTCCAACATAAACTAGTTTTAGAATCGAGTTTTAACCGTCGACCGTTTAAGCTTATTCGTACCATAAGCATTGTACAAGCTTGATTAAAGTCATTTAAGTTATAAAAATGTATTTAATCGTTACAGAACAGAAACCGTCGATCTTTCGCGGTTTCCGTCTCTAACTTTTACTGACGTTGAAAAGTATGCAGAAGCTCCACAGGATGCGAAAGCACCGCTAAAGCCTATAAATTCTTCGCTGAACCTGGATACCTCCACGATATTAAAAGTAAGTCTGAAAATAATTTTTCTATATTCCATAACCATGAATCTTAACAGCAGTCTTACAGGTTCAAAACCATTCATTTTTTTTTTTTGGTAGTCACTGATGGAGCTACCGAGGCAGTAGTGTTTGCAAGATGCCACAGATCCATGAAGAAAAGTGAACCAGCTCACTCACTTCAATTGATCATCATTACTGAGAATAAGGTGTCGGGAAAATGTTCCTGTGTGGCTAGTGCTGGTGGCTTTTGTCATCATTTTATTGGTTTGTTGTTCTACCTGGCACACCGGAAGCAACTAGGTTTTAAAAGCGTTCCCAATGACCTAACATGCACTATGGTTGCTCAGAGATGGAGTGTACCAAGGGCGGGACAGATTGAACCCCAGTGTGTCGACAGTGTATTGGGTAAAAAGCCGCAAGGGGGAGCAAACTACAACAAATTTCTAAAAAGTACCCTATACTCTCCAGCAAGGCAGTATCCTTTGCTTGGCCCTGAAGAGAAAAATAAGCCCAAAAGTCTCAATCCTGAGCCTTTGCTAGTAGGTTTGTTATCAGAAAATCCTCTGAGCCTGGGAAGTATACAGGCCCACTTTGGAAACTTACCAAAAGGTTCTGCATTGTCCTACCAGCAAAGGCTCACAGAACAATACATTATCAATGACTACGGTCTGACAAATTTCCTAGACCTACCACTGTCTGGCGCCAGAGATTGCTTTGTAAACAGCTTGTCCATCTGTATAGAAAGGACCAAACTTGCAAAGTTACAAACAGTTACGGTCACATTAGACATGGCCCGCGACTTGGAACATAAAATACGAAAACAAAGCGAGAGTGGACTCTAACACTCATTACGACAGAAGAGAATAACTGCAAGTAAATTCGGCATCGTCGCAAAAAGAGTATCAAATTTTGAAACCCTTGTACAACAGCTTCAGCCTTCCAGGTACGTACAATCAGCTGCCATGAAACGTGGTATCGAAATGGAAGGAAGGGCAGCATTTATCTACGCCAGTAAAAAGAAAAAGGGCATGGCCAATGTATACCCTTGTGGTCTTGTAATAAACCCGAAATGTCCTTGGCTGGGTAGTTCTCCTGATAGAACAGTTTATGATATAGAGGCTGCTCAAAATGGTTCATCAGACCCTTCTGGTTTGTTTGAAAGCAAAGTTGTTCAGGAGGGGGTGTTGAGTTTTGATGCTGTTTCCTATTTGAAGCGCGATCCGGTTACCAACGAACCAAGACTTAAAGAAAATCATATTTACTACCTTCAAGTACAGTGCCAGCTGGGTACTACTGGGTTAGACTGGTGTGATTTTTCATCAATGACGATTTATGTTTTTGTCAACGAATTAAATTCGATTCTGTTGTTTTCCAGCAAAGTAAAGTTCGAGTTGACAACTTTTATTTCAACTATTTTCTGTGAAGGTTAAGTTAAGGTGCACATCGGTAGGTCACAAACTGCAACAGCAAGTTTTTCGTTTTTGACGCCATCGTATCCGGTCATCATGGCACCAATTACGAAATAAATAGTTTTCCAGCCAGATGCCCAAGCCAACAAAGGGGGCAATGTAACTTTCTGTTGTAGTTTGTGGCCCATGAAAGTTGAGAATTCTCGACCGAACTAAGAGGAATTGCTTTTTAGTATTAAAGGTCCTTGAAAGTTAACCAGCAAACAAGTCACAGTCCAGAGCTGGTTGACAGTACCCAACAATGACAATGGGATGGGAGTATCGTAAATGTGATGCTCTTTAATTCTACGAATTGCCCTTTCTACGTGAATACGTAGTTTTGCGATTGTTTTGGTTTCTTTAACCTCTTTTGAAGAGAACTGACCCCCACTTGAAAGATAGGGTGGCAGGTCGACAGGTTTCAGACAAGTGATACGCTGATTCTCAGGGACTTTTATACAATTGTACCTTGATTACCCATTCTTATTTTCACCTATGCGTCCTGTTGCATCAGTTTTTTGACACTGTTAATGGCAAATATCAAAAATCGAAAAAAATTGCAACTGATTCAAACTATTTGAGATGTGATGCTTTACTCACAGCACTTCACTTTCCATTGGGCTACTTGTTCTTGTAAGCAGGATAGAAAAGAGCGGTACTGGGGACAACAATTTGGCAAATGGAAAGGGCATTTCGGACCGACCGACCGACCGAAATGACCAGACCGATCACAGTGGACCACCCTCAAAGCTGGTCCCAAATATTCCGGGCAGAGCAAACCAAAATGGTCCGTTCCATTTGATGAACCTTGCGAAATTTCCGGACATTTGGGTTGAATGGAAAGCTCCCCCGATCTTTAAGAAAAACCGCTGATCTGACCTGTTGACTTAAGGCTCATGACTCATGACTCATTGACTCATAAAACATCCGTTCTCCATTTCGGGAGAATCGTCGCTCTGAATGTGGACATTATTTGTGCTGTTGTGCGGAAATTGCGATTCTATGGACTTTGAAGAGTTTGGCTCTTGAGGAGAAATGAAGTTCTCTTGTTGTCAGGATTCAGAACATACTGAAGTTACTTGGCTAGTAGAGGCAGCAATGTCGATGAGGTCGTTTCTCATGGCTTGTTGTCCATTATTTAATAAAACAGTTGCCAAAGTATCTTCTGTTGACAGACTCTGGATCTCATCTTGATCAAGAATTTTGTTTTCATCAGGGCCATCGCCAGAAGACAACAACTCTGTCTCACCGTTAACAATTTCCAAGTTTGAGTTAAACTGTAGAACTCCTGATGATTCTTCTAAAATATTTTCTTGGAGTAAACTGCGGTCCATGCCGAGCATCTTAATTGTTAAAAGTGCCTTGGCCTCAGTTGTTTTTGCTGAACGTGTGATAGTGTCTTCAACTTCATCAGGCCAATGCGGAAACATATAGTTTGATTCTAACTAATCTTCTGCTCCCTTAGACCTTTTTGGAAGTGTTATCGCTGTCTGGTTTTGTTCACACAACGCACGTTTTCAGATAGCTTTCGTAGCCTGCCATATATGTCAATCATTTCAAAAAGTGCTACATTTGTTTTGATTTTTTTAAAACATCGTATTTTCGCAAACAGTTTTTCGCATTGATCGCTGCCAAATACCAAGCAAAAACTTTGACAGTGAGTATAAGTGAATGACCAGAAATTATCATATCTCTACATGTTTGATCGCTGATAAAGTTACTGTAGACGTCGTGCTTTTCAATTTTTAACCATTGCTTCCACAGCCTAAGGAAAAGCACCGGCATCCACGCTTCAATCCTTTCGGCTATTGTCAAGTTGTTGCATGCGTAAGCATTACGCATTTTCTGTCCAATTTTCAAATATACCCTGGTTGTAACTGTTTCGTTGTCGTCAAAATTCAAAAGACACGATCTCACACGAGGATGAAGAAGCCTTAAGGTCACATCAACGTTCTGCTTATCCTTCACCCAAACGTCTGTTTGCCATAGTCCCGTCGCCAAACGATAATTTTGGAACACTTGACTTATGTGCTCCAACATAGCACATTTTTGCCCCATAACTAAAAGGCGTCTGGTATTTAGCAACTGATTTCGCCATTTTTTTATCATATGCAACTGATCTGGAAACATAAGTTCGGGTATGTAATGGTCATTATTTATTTTTTCCAATGGCGCAAGAAACGTAAAATCAGGTACTTCTAGAGACAAACCATGTTCCTTGTTTCCAGCACCGTGGCAACGAATGTGAAAGTATTTTCGTATCTTGCTATCTTCGTCCGCTCCAAGGCCTAAGATATTTATCCCAGATTCTCCAGCCCAAGCTCTAGAATTGCGCATCCAAGTATCAACAGTATCGGCTGTTTCTCCCTTTATGACAGGTTGTACTACTAATAATAACTAATCCACTGACCTAATCAATATTTCTTTGAGGCGTTTGCATGTTCTTCGAAATGTTGCACATTTCGCATTAACAGCTTGAATTAATGAAGCCCCTTTCGTTTTCAAACTTGTCATGGCAAATGCTCAAACATGATCAAAACCTCTTTAAGTGTTTTGGAATTTAAAGAGAAGTTCAACCTGCTTTAAATTGACCAACTCTAATTACTTATTATAGCAGGTGCGTGAACAACTGTGTAAATAAATTGATGGTCGTAAATCAATATTAAATAGGGTTATTTGAACCAAATTAACTTACAAAAGTAATAGTTCTCAACACGCATAATCACTACAGTTAAAACAAAATTGCATTAAATTTGAGCATTTAAGACGACGAAATCCTTCAGGAAACTGAGTAATTTTGATTTTCAGTGGACAAAAACCTTGAACCAGAAATGTATATTTAAAGCATATTGCATTGTTTTTTGCATTTTTCAAGGGCTAAAGATGTAATTAGTTATCTGTAATAGAACACCAAAGAAAATTTACGGAAGCCGGAGGAAGTAAATGTCACAATTCACAAAATGACATCTTAAACATGAAAATTTCAGAATTTACCTGTGTTTTCACAATTCTTGTGCTCCCATAAGAAATTTTCTTCGGTGTTATTACAGGTAACTTATTACATCTATAGCCCTTGAAAAATGTAAAAAAGATTGCAATATTTTTTTAAACTTTTCTGGTTCAAGGTTTTTGTCCACTGATATATATGACATTAGAAGCGTATCATCAAGAGGGCAAACGACTACAAGGGAAACCTGTCACACTGTAATTTGTGACTTTCCGAGAATCTCTGTATCTTGACTGCCCACAGTACGCTCCTTAACAAACGATCTGAGCTAGTAACCAAGTGTTGTCACGAGAACAATTGCTTTGCAACCAATCACAGAACGCTCTGCTCCAACCGTCCATGAATTTCAAATTTCCACCTTAAAACTGAAGTCTGTTTTTAGACATTTTAGTCTGATGATCGCTTAGTGCGTGGAACTCCGAGATACAACTCTAAACTTTCGGGTCCGTCCTTTGCATTTGTATTTACAATATATATATTTAATAGACAATTTCATTAATTGTTGCTGGGAATTAACTTATTGGATGTACAGTATTTTATACACTTCAACTCCACTGTTTTCTAAAAGTTAATTACTTGCATTGGGACCAGCATAGAATGGGACAGGTCTATAATAGAATTACGTTTAGTTATCCACTTTATTGTTATCAATTATTATTATTATTGTTATTGTTATTATTATTTTATAACTCCACATAAAGTACATTTTACTTACATTCCAGTGCACACGTAATTTTTCCTGTTGCACCTTCCAGCTGTAGCAGCATGGTGGCTGATAGATTGCCCACATCCCATGGGTTAAAAAATCAATCCATTAACTTTTTAATTATGAAATCTTTTGACTTCAAGTTCGTCTATGAATATGCCAGAATTTTGCCAGTTGTCAGAGTAATGAGTATAATAATTAAATGACGCAGCTCAATGAAGTATGCAAGCTAGATTTGTAAAACAAAAACTTCTTCTAACAGAACGTTTACCAATAGATATCTTCACTTTTGATGAGTACAAAGAAATTATGCAAACTTTAAAGGAAGCAATAGAGATATTTTATGCCACAGTTATAGGTTTGGAAAATTGAGGCAGATAAATCCATATAGAAATAGGTGAATAACAAACTGAGTTTCGATATTAAAGAAATTTTCATGATTTATACAGGGTAATAATAATTGAAATTGAGTGATATTCTTGATACAATATAAAATTACCGGTTAAAACTGGTTGTCATTATAACATTTCTATATAACAACCTGATATGTGATAAGGCTCATGTTCACTGTACGAACACTAATTTACACATATATTTTTCACTTACATTGTTTGCTTGATTCTCAGGAATATCTGTTCTCTGCAAAATAATAATGCATACAAGACAGAAATCAAACACATCCAACATTGGCAATCGGAAAAGTTACCTAATTAAAACCTGGCAACTAATGATATGTACCAAAATGACTTCGGCAAAAATTAAACTTAGAAAATAAAGAAGACTAGGTGGGAGACAATTTTCGGATTTCTTTATAAAAATAGATTATTAATTTGTGCTAAAGCTTATTATACGTATCTCTTATGTATGTTATCTTTGCAGTAAGTATAGAAATACATTCCTTCGCTGAATTTTATTCAGGCAGTGATTCAATCAGACATAGAGGGATTGATAACAGCATAAATAAAACCTCCCTATTTTTATGTTAAACAAAAACACAGCTGTATATTAGGAACCCAACTCTGCATCACTCAGTCCAGAACATACAGGTACATTTTAAGGCTCCTATATTTCAACAAACTTGATTTTACTTACATATGATATGCTGTTGATAAAGAGGCCTTTCTTTGGTTTGTAATCAGTTCTTTCTCCTAGCTTTGAATCACCGTTCTGATTTGCCCTCAATGACCCATCTTTCTGGATATTATCTGAACGTTTATTAGACAATAGAGACCTTTAGCATCAGGTTTTTCGCGGGAAACCGCAAAGCGGTTTGCGGTTTGCGGTTAGCCGTTTGCAGTTTCAGGTTTCCTGGCTTTCGAACTTTAGCAAGGCGTTCAACTTGCTCTTGAAACATGAAGAATTGTGGGTAGTTTGGTCGGAAAAAAAATGGCGGCTTCTGTAGCAAGGTTGGTATTGACGTGATTTATTTTCCTACCTTACATTGCTTTTGCCAAGATAATCCTACTTTTTTTTCAGGCGAAATTACGACGATATCATAACTGTGCTAACGTATGGTGATAGCTCAACAAGCTCTGACTCATCTGATGAAGACTTGCTCGATGAAATCTTTGTTAGTTCTATGTTCCCTGATTACAAAGTCGATTATCCGAGAACAAACATCGACGACTTAAACGAGAGTCAGTGTGTTGCGATGTTTAGGTATGAAGCAATGTAGCCGTCAAAATAGTTTGTTCAGATATGTAGCAAACGGTTACCCTTGTGCGTGAAAATTTGATTATACGTTTTGATTGGCGTTTCGTATGTAAGCTTATTTAGTCTTGTGTTTTCAAAGGTTTCAGAAGTGTGACATGTACCGCCTATTAGAGGCTTTGCAAATTCCAGAATGCTATATCTGCTCCCAGAGGACTTTTGTCACTGGAATGGAAGCCCTTATGATCCTGTTGCGAAGGCTTACCTACCCAAATAGATGGTGTGACTTACAAGCCATGTTTGGAAGGTCCGAATCTGAGCTAAGCTTAATTTTCCATAAGGTATTAAACCTAGGTAACAGAACTTGCCTTATAAAACAAGGGCGAAGTGGTTTGGTTAAAAGCCCCATTCTTTCGAATCAAGCACACAAAAACCTCCCTGAATATAGAGACTGGAATCTCCTTAAATCACATGGAACTTGTTTTATTATGGTCATATGCAGTTTTTACTTTGATTACCTAGATACTTGATGATATTCACGACAGATTCGGTCATCTCTTGGAGACCCTAGTTCTGGTCTGGCTTGATCCTGGGATTTTTTCCCAAGTTATACATGTGAAAGGTGCACCACTTAACCAGTGTTGGGGATTCATTGACGGTACCCCAAGACCAATGGCACGCCCAACAAGAAATCAAAAGATTATGTACAGTGGACATAAAAGGACACACTGCATAAAGTTCCAGGTACAACAGCATTCTGTGTATAATATGGATCCAAGAAAAATTAGTTTGCCTTAGGACCAAAATTTTTTAAATCTTTCAAGGCAACTCTCTCCCACACCACGACACAGCCCTAAAAATGAACAGACAAGGAACTACTGCACCTATTGCTTCTTATTCAAGGGTATACATGTATATTAGAGCTAGTTTAACTTAACTCTCTCTGCCAAACAGCGGGTGAAATCCATGTTCTGGGCCCCCACCAGTGATGTACCTGGATCTGAGTATGAACAATTATGGCAATTTGTCAATCAAGATGAAAGGAAATTCAAAATGCACTTCTGGAATTCCTTGAATCCATTGGGGGCCCAGAACAAAGATATCAGAGCTGCTTCGCAGACATTACTAACCGAGGTTAAATAATATGTCTGTGACACGGCGTATATCAGAGCCTGGCCTGCTGTCCTATAGTTACCAATGGTCCCTTACAGCATTTTTTTTAACCTGCCCATGACTATTGTTGTATATTTTTAACATTATTTCCTAGTCAGTTCAAGCTCCTAATGGATTAATTGCCCACCTGTTTGGCCCTATTCTCGGTTTTCACCTGACGTCACAACCCTTTCCAAATATGGGCATCCGCCATATTTGTGTCCCTCGGTCTGTGAAATTTATGATAATTGTATGCCATCTCTATCGACTCCTTCTAATTTTTAAAGAATTTTGCGCTTCTATTATGGATGTGGCGGAAGAAAAAGGCGAGGAAGACTTGAAGACGCTTTCCTTTCATATTCCTGTGTTGTCAGAGTACGCTAGAGCTTTGGACAAGCAAGTCAAGCGACGATATCTCGAAAAGATTTCAGTAGTAGGAGTTGATCCCGTTAGCATTCCTAGTGAACAGTTTGATCCTGAGTGTTTGCCGCACATAGAAGCGACTGATTTACTTGGATATCTCGTCTTAGAGACAAGCTTTTATACAAGGCAGCAATTTAAAGCTTACAAGAGCTTGGAGGCGTTTAACCAAATGGTTTCTGGGTTCGTAACTTCAGTGAGAGGATGTAAGATCTCCAATAAGCATGTTGTCGTCGCAAAAGTGCGGCACTCTCAACGAATGAATGACCCGCTGGTAAATATTTGGATAATTGCAGAGAGTGATGGCACCATTCGCTCCACGCACTGTTTAGGTTGCAAAGCGGGGCTGGCTGAGTCCTGTTCACACATCGCAAGTGTCCTCTTCTACATTGAAGCTTGGATTCGAATAAATGGCAAATTAGCTTGCACACAAGTGAAGTGTTCGTGGCTGTTACCCACATACGTGAATGAGGTGCCCTATGCTAGGGTTCGAGATATTGACTTTTCTTCAGCAAAAAGATTGAAGGAAAACTTAGATGCAAAAATTGATTGTTTGACGGAGAGCAACATCAAAGATCTGTTTTCACCTCAGCAGGGTCAAGCGGAAATGGGACGCCCCGACGTTTCTTCCCCGTCACAAGCGGAAATGAGTTCTCTCTTTGAGAAATTAAAGAGCTGCAAAATCAAGTCAGTTGCTCTGAGTTTGACTGATGAGTATGCTGATCAGTTCATAGCGAAAAGTAGGACTATCCCTGTTGTTTTTGACTTATTTGAGACAGAGAATCTTGACTTGGATTATCATGAACTATTGCAAAAATGTGCAGAAGTTAACTTGGATATCTCACGCGAAAGCATCGAGCTCATTGAGAAGGACACAAGGGCTCAAGCAAGGGGCTCAGGATTCTTTCGTCACCGTGCCGGGAGAATTGGTGCCTCGGTCAGTGGGGCTGCTTTTCACAGTAACCTGTCACAACCACCCCAGGCACTGATAAAAAGTATTTGTTACCCAAATGTTTTCAAGGTGAATACTAAGGCCACAAGACATGGGTGCAAATATGAGGATGATGCTATTAGTGCATATGAAAATGAAATGAAAAAAACTCATTCTAACTTTACACTTACTCGATGCGGTCTCTTTGTCAATGAGCAACATCCATTTCTACATGCCACACCAGACTTCCTCACAGCATGTGATTGCTGTGGGCTTGGTTGCGGAGAAGTGAAATGCCCTATTTGCATAAACAATTGTGACTTTGAAAAATACACAATGGAAAAGAATGCCTGCTTAGAAAAAGTGGATGCAATGTTTCGCCTGAAAAAGCACCACAATTATTATTTTCAAGCACAGCAACAGCTTTTCACTGTAACTGACAGAAAACACTTGACTTTGTGGTATGTGCCATCAGCCCCCACAGAGAACCGCAAATAGTTATAGAACGTATTTATCCGGACTTAGAGCATTGGCATACTGTACTCCCAAAACTTGAAGCTTTTTGGAGGGTAAGTATCCTCCCTGAGATTCTGGGTCATTGGTACACAAGGAAATGTACCTTGCCCATGAACAAACCCAATGACAATGGGATATGCCTTTGTCGGGGTCCACGGGATGACACTGTCATTACATGTAGCAACCCAGAATGTCCATATACAGAATTTCATCCTTTATGTTTGGCTCTTGGTTCAGCTATGACCCCCAAAACATGGTACTGCCCACACTGTTCTAGATTGCCACAGTTCAAACGGAGAAGGGAACGTTCCTTATCTGCCAAACAGAGTGCACAGGTAGCAGTAAACCAGGCTGCCTCGCAGTGTAACAACATTTGTGTTTGTACTTCTAAAGCAAGCCCAACAGACAAACTAATTGAGTGCCATTCAACAGAATGTAGCAATGGAAAGTTTTTTCACCTAGCTTGTCTCGGTTTAAAAAGAAGGCCAAACAAATCTAAGACAACCTGGCAATGTAGTGCTTGTAAAAAAGCAAAACAGCTAGTCAAAGCTACTACTTGTACTTCTTATGCGTCAGAACCAACAAAATCTACAACTGAATCCCCTGTCGTGCATGATAGTGATGGTGATGATGTCGATGATGAGGATGATGTCAGCATCACTCAAGTAACAGTAGGTGCTGCAAACAAACAAAGCGCCCTTGCAAAGCTTGTTGAGAGTGATTATCAAACAATTCTCAGCCCAGCCGGGTGGCTTACTTGTGATATAATCCAACAGGTTCAAGTGCTCCTACAGAAAGAAAATTCATCGATTGAGGGATTTCAGCGGCCCACCCTTGGCCCAGTACGCAACTTCAATGTTGTGTCTGGGGAATTTGTACAAATACTACACACGGGCAGTGACCACTGGGTATGTGTTAGCTCGATAGGATGTTTGCCAGGCTATGTGAATCTTTATGACAGCCTTTATCATGATGCAATTTGCCAAGAAGTGGAAGACCAAACTAATGATTTGCTGGGTGGAAGATTGGTCAGTCTACAGTTTGTTTCCGTTCAGCAACAAACAAATGGCTGTGACTGTGGCATATTTGCAATAGCCTTTGCCACGTGCCTTGCTTTAGGCACTAACCCCAGCAATGTGACATTTTATATTCAAAGAATGCGTTCACATTTAGTTACATGTTTAAGGGCAAGAAAAATGAGCATGTTTCCATGTTTTTGACTCTAATCGCTTTAGTGTTCTATTTAATCGTTTATTTTATTTATAGGTAATAATAAAATAGCTGAAGTTGATGGAGCAGTGAGGGAAGGGGCATTTTATACATAACACTGAAAATTGAAGATTCATCACATTTCCTGAAAATAATGTCAATTTTTGTTCCAGCTAGAGCTTATGTACATGCTGTTCATCCCATACTTTGCATTGGGGTTATTACTGAAACCAGGGTTCAACATCTCCAGTAGCCCAGTAGCTCAATGCTGGTAAAATGAGGTTGGGCTGGTAAAATTTCACATTTTTACCATTGTGTCAACTAGTAGAAAATTGGAAAGAAATTTTGAGTTGTAAGGATGGTAATAATAATGAAGAATGTATAATTTTATCACCGATGGGACTAATAACTTTCAAAGAATATTAGCCTGGTAATTCAGCTAGCCAGAGCATGCTGAACCCATAAGTTACTCAACAATGGTTGATGTGGCTTACTAGTATGTGAAAAGGTTAGGCAATTAACTGAAAATGCAAGCATCAGGGCTGGACACTGATGGTAGTCATAGCCACAGATACCCTGTGAGCAGAGGCCCTTTGATCTTCCTAGATAAGTCAGGAAGAGGAAGGGACCTTCCTCTTCCCAACTTTTCTAGGAAGATCAAAAGGACCTCTGCTCAAAGGGTAAAAAAGCCACAGACCACTTTCGCAGTGAAAAATTTGAAATTAGACATAGTTTGCTTATTGCAAGAAAAAGAAAAAAGATTGAATTGACTGACAAAATAATAGTGCTATTTTTGGTATGACTTCCTAGCCTGAATGGTAATTAATTGGCATCCTCAGAGGCAAAGTCTCTAGAGTGCACTGCTTTTCATATCGGCCTTTTTTGTGGAATAAAATGTAAATTTTTCTAGCCTAGGTATTCTTCAGTTTTTTATGTTTGCGGATGCATTTATTCTGCTGCATTTGAGTCATTACTTCATCCCATTTAATTTGGCTGATGAAAATTAATATTATTTTGCCTAGTAAAATCTACATACATTTAGTCACTAGCCACTTAATTGGCTAGTAAGTTTAAAAGTTAGTGTCGAGTCCTGAAGCATTCTGTTTACAAAGACATTTGTTACTTTTGGTCATAATTTCACATGCTGCAAAATACTAGTACAGTGAAACCTGTATTAAGCGGACACCCTCGGGGAATGCTGTAGTGTCTGCTTAATACGGTGTCCGCTTAATACAGGTTTCACTGTACGTGATAGAGGAGCAGACGAATGACTTGCTAGGTGGTCATTTGGTGGAACTTCAGTTTGTTCCAGTTCAGCAGCAGACAAATGATAGCGACTGTGGGGTGTTCGCAACTGCCTTTGCTGTCTCTCTTGCTTTGGGAACAAATCCTAAGCATGCAACACCCTTAGAATGCATCCCCATTTAGCAGCCTGTCTTAAGGCAGAAAAAAATAAGCATGTTTCCTGTTTTTTAACTTACTGTCAGTTTTATTCATTGACTCAAACCATTGAGTAGAATATTAATCACTTTATGCAAGCAAAAAAGTGAACTGAAGGATATCTACTGTAGTGTATGCAAATTGAACCTAAAGCTGCAGGGGTACATGTAATATAAAATGTTGCAAGACTCTCCACATTATTTTAATACGCTCCAGATACATGTTACTACACAAGAACATTTTGACTCTTGAAAAAGAATTGACTTTACCCTTCATGTACAACCCTTTTTTCTTTTGAAAAAATGGGCCCTGGGTTTTTATTACTATTATAATCTATTTTACTATACACATTGTATTTCCAGAACTTTTTAAAATAATGTGTAATAAAGCTATTATTTATGTCCATTTAGGTTTTTTGATAACTACAATGGGCATGGTCCCTGTAATACTAGCCTTGGCTGATTATGAAGTTTAAATTTATAAATAATGATACCTTTATAACAGTCATTACCTGCAAAGTAGCTAATAAAAGCTGAAACAATCCAAATTCTCATTTCAGTTCCAGGGTTGTCGCTAAGATTTCAAGTTGCTGGGTAAATACAACAAGTTAAGGGGGGGAATCAAACACTGAGGGGTTTCTTTTGGTTCTAAAAATTTTCTTCCATTTTCCAATAAAAGTAGCCAGGGGCCACACTCATAGTAGCCAGGGGAAATCCCCGGCCCCCGGCTCTTAATGACAGCCCTGAGTTCCTTTTGTATTTGCTTGTGAAACAAAGGAAGAATGTCTCATCAGATCAGGAGTCACTTAGGGCCTTATTCCATGCACCTCTTCGATCGGAAATTAAAATTTACATCAAGATAGTACCAAAATCTCATCAAAATACATGTATATATTTTTATACTTAATTGCTTTAAAGGAAACTGATTTTTTTTATGTGCTGTGTGTTGTTCCAGGAAATACTCAGTCTCCATTGATTCGCCATTGTGTATGTAGGAGGGGTGGGGTGGGGGAACCTCTTGCCATTAGTTCACACTGCCTGCTAAAAAGTTTGGCTTACAAGAGCAATGTCAGTTTTTTGCCTCCCCAAGAACAATAACAACTGATACATTTTTTACAAAACAAATATAAGAATGTTTGTGTTTTACAAAAATTCAAAGCTCTCTATACATACTTTACAAAGACATTTTTACCATTCAACATGTGTCATAATTTAAAGCAGTGCATCTCCACCTTGCCTTGCTGAAATAGTTGTGCCACAACTGTATAATTTGGCATGAAACTATTATGAGACACTGAACTAACACTTAAAACTTATCTTGAAAGTCAATTTGTAGCTTGAGCTAAAACTTTTTACATGTCCAAGCCCATGTTTTATGGTCCCTGTCCCCAAAAAAAGTACACACCATAATATTAACCCTTTTCACTCCCATACTGAATAATATACAGTGTAGTGTAGTATTTAGGAAGTTCTGACTTTTAAGTTTCTGGACAAATTGCTAGGGTTAACATTCAAATGAAACCCCTTCAACAGTACTTTCCCATGGTGCTTTTTGTTTTCAATATTTTACAAAATGAAATTTGGAAATTTTGCTGACTTTTGACTTTAACCACCTCTGGGAGTGAAAGGGTTAACATGGTTATGTCTTATCATTTCAAACTTCTAAATGTAACCAAAAAGGACATGACTAATCTAAGGGTACTATTCCAGGGCATAAATTCACAAGAGCAGAGCAAACCCTCACTCTTCTGTCAATTATGGGAACCTGGGAATCTGGTGCTTCCTTAGCGCTACCCCTAAGAAAGTCTGTTGGTAAAGTACCCTCTAAAATTGTGTACTTACGACGGAGAAGTCCAATTACTCTTTCGACATGAATGCGAACGCTCGCAATACCTCGGGTCTTCTCTACATCTATTGGGTCTAGCTGTGACTTCCCCTTAGTAAACGCTGGAATGATAAGTTTAGCTTGTTTTAGTCCCACACTTTCACTGACTGTGAAGCCTCTGTCCGCCATAACCATGTCTCCAGGTAAAAGTTTGTCAAGAAATCCACAATTCTCAGTCAGGAACTTGTCAGAGGTTCTACCCCCCCAAGCTTCAGAAACAAATGAAATAGATCCTTGAGGGGTGATGCCTATTAAAATTTTTATAGTGTTGTGATGTTTATATGAACTAAATGTCTGTGCTCTTGCAAGCAAATTTGTTGGTTTCTCAATGAAAACCTCAAAACAGTCGATTATAACTGTCACCTTGTTGCCAAAGGCGTATTTAAAGCACATTGGCATTGTTTTGCAAAGATTCTCTCTCTCAGGCCAGTGAACAAGCGGACGCAACCTGTAGTCCATGGTATTCATCCATGAAAAAAAAATCCGTGAAACAGTTGGTACCGATACCAAGAAACGATAAGCCAGATCCTTAAAAGGGACATAGAGTCGAAGCTTAATCAAAACCAAAACAAATTCCTGGAATGGATCCAGTGCCTGAGTACGGCGACTCACGTGTGGCGCCACATGGTTAAAAGTTGTTACAAGAACCTGGTAGGATGGTAACCCCGTATAAAAGCGAACTTTATCATCAGATCTGAAATACTCTCTGTCCGGAGCTTGATATGTTGGCCTATAAAACATGTATTCAAACTCCTCGGTTTGTGTTTCGGCGTCTTTTGAAGGCTCTGAGACGCTTCCTTCAGCGTGGTTTTCAGCATCGCTTGTAGTACCAGTCGTGGAACTAGAGGCCTCTGATGGCTCCATTTCTGTCGCATTGGCAATGCCAGGATTTTCCTCCACTTTTTCTGTTGAGGTAATTGTGCTGTCTCTGTGAAGTAGATATCAACAACTCGATCGCCACTCACATTTAGATGTTTTCTCTTCTCGGCGACTTCGACTTCCTGTCGTTCAATAGAACGTTTCCTGCGTTCCTTTGCTCTTTCGGCTCTTTCTTCTGCAGCCTTCTGGGTTTGTTCTTTCCGTTCGTTTCCCTTATAATCCCTTTTACCGAGATTTAAAGTCGGTACCCAATCGATGTTGTGCTTGTCCCATACAGCTGCAGCCTTCCCTGAAACGAAATGACGATCACACACACGTTCGCTTTCTAGGATGTCCTTCTCCTCAGTGTCGCCACGACTGACCGCCGAAATCCATCGATTTCTTCTCTCCCGTGTCAATTCTTCCCATTCCTCGCCTTGATTTGTGATAATCTTTGGTATTTTACTGAATTTTGCGTTCTGTTTACCGCTTTTTCCCCCGCAACCGACCACAATACAGAGAACCATCTCAAACTCACGCACTCGCGTCTTAGATTTGTTTACATTTCAGGGGCACAAAGATGGCGGATAGCAACCGTTGCCAAGGTCAGTGTCACGTGAGTGAAAACCGAGAATAGAGGGAAAACGTCATGATGCTTTCATGCTAGGGGTCAGCGGTTTGGCTGATAAACTGAGAAGATTCCAGAAGCCAAATGGGGAACCCTATGTAATTTATGGAGACCCAACCTATGGCCTGACAAGAAACATACCGGCTCCTTATAGGGGAGTTAGATTAACAGATGATCAGCAGGAATTCAACAGTCAAATGAGCAAAGTTAGAACCTGTGTAGAATGGGAATTTGGCAAGATTTGTCAGCTCTTTGCATTTCTGGATATTAAGAAAAACTTAAAGCTTTTGCTCCAGCCCATTGGCGAGTACTATTTGGTGGCAGTTATACTGGTCAACTGCCATACTTGCTTTTATGGTTCTCAGACTGCTGCATATTTTGATCTTGATCCACCCATGTTAGAAACCTATTTGTCAAACCATTAAATTCCAAGAACAGCAGTGTGCAACAAACATGTATTTCTAAAGATATTTTGTAAAATTCAAGAAGTACAGGTACAAAGTTAACAAGTTAGGCTTAGACTTACAAACACTGGTGGTTCCAAATACAGTCATGTATTAACTTAACTCCTTGACTTCTATACCAATTCAAATTTAATGTAAAATAAATAAAGACCACTTTATGAGCAAAAATGCAGTCTTCTCTTCCAACCCCAGTGTAGCCAGTTCAAACACGGAGGGTAGGAGGGAAATGGCAAAAATGGCAAGGGAAGTTCCCTCCTCATTTGAGCCTGCTGTGCAGGCTAATCTGTGGTTGAAGTTTCTCCCTCTATGACGTTTTTTTTCCAAAACTCAAGAAATGCAAGTGCAAGGGTAACACTTTATGAACACTGGTGCTCCCAACTAAGTCTTGTATCAACTCAACTTTAGATTTTGTTAAGAACAAATTCGAATAATCCTGAAAATAATTACAAGAAAATCATTTTCCTCTTAAAGCCTGGTTTTCAACAGAGCAAGAAATGCCCTCTTCTCTTCCAACTCCAGTTGAAGTTTCTCCCGTCTCTCTGCTGCTTCTTCTTCACATTTCTGTTTTTGGAACTCAAACTCCTTTTTTCTTTGTTCTAACTCAAGCTCCTTAAAATTAGCCTTCCTTTCATTTTTCTTTTCCAGCATCTCTATGGCCGACAGCTTTGATGCCCTTTTCTTCTTTTTGACAGGTTTTGCTTTTGAGGCTGGAAAAAGGAAAAGTCGTCTAAATGAACTTAACAATTAAAATTATTACAGTGCAATATCCATTAGTGAGGACAGTCCAGTGGAACACAAAATTCTGAAATGAAGCCTCTTTTTGCTCATAACCAAGTAATAATTGTTTTAAGTCCTTGAAACAACCACCTTTGGGGAAAAGCACTTGTGCTGTATTTTGGAATTACATTCTTAGTGTGTTGGCAAAGGCATGACAGATGAATATTACAACATAGGGGCAACCTAAGAAATTGAATCAAGTTGTGGCATTGCAGGGAAACAAAATAATACATAGAGCAACTGATTGTCTAAAAAGGCAAATTATAAAGGAGAAATGCAGATATGTAGTAATCAATATTTCAGGCAATCAGTTTAAGTGGAATGGCATGTAAATTCTACAGAATCAAATGTCTAGCAAACATCCTTTCCACCACCGGCCCATTCCCCTTGGCTCAGCCTTCCTGAGCACAAAAAGAGAACCTGAATATTTTTCCATTTCTTTTTTTGTTCAGGAATTTGAACATGGAAAAGTGACTCTTCTAGAGTACATGTAATAGCAATAGCTGCACTCACCTTTCTTTTCTTTACTTGAACTGGCAGCACTGCTACATGTATCATCAGAGTGCTCATCGGAATCTTTATCTGTTTCGTCATCAGAGCTTTCCTGTTTTCTCTCTAATTAAATTGTAAATAATAAATTTAATATAATTATTACTTAGCTTAAGTAAAAAAAAATGTTATATCTTTTATAGCCATTTCTATTTTTATATATGACTGCTCTTATTATTGGAGGGGGAGGGGGTTATGTATAAACCATGTAAATACATACATGTACTTTTACAGAGTGTAAATGTTGATGCTGTCATTTTCACCAGTTATGGTAAAATTAACAAAGTTTATGAACTTCCCTTAACGCTGAAAAATGACAACGATAGCAATGTTTCAGTACAAGATTATTCACAACATCCTAACAACCAACAACAACATCCTTTACATCCAATTTCTAATTTTTTTTTATGGCTCATGGCATGAAAAAAGAAATTGTCACATAAAATGATCAAAGGATGTGTAGGAGCTTAATTAAGAAACGTTTTCACAAACGAAGTCACAATTTGTGATCACGATGTTTGTCCTCAATGTTTTGCTGACAGGCACTTTTTTTGATCACACATTTTTACGGTGTCCTCTATACTGGCTTCCTGGAAATCGTTTCAAAATTGGTGGAACATTAAAGCTTATACATCTATCTCATTATCAGAAAGTCTAAAATTAATCATGCGTATGCATATATTGTACTTCAGCACAAATAACAAGTATGACACTTTGATCCAAACTTGCTTCATTATGTCAACTAAAAATATTTCAATAAACTTACTTCCCAAACTAAGCAAGGCAGCATCCCTCATTTCTGCCGCTTTCCGTTTATCCTCTTTCTCCTTCTGCTTTTTGTTCTCCTTTTCCTTCTTCTGCATTTCCTCGGCATCTTTTCGAACAGTGTAAATGTCCTCAAGCAATTGACTAAGTTCGTCATACTCCTCTCCCGTGCCAGATCTACCGACCAAAGAAAAACAGTGAAATTGACTGCGCATTATGAGCCATCTCAAATAATAAACTTGGTATTTGTACTCACCTCTTAAGCGCTCTTTTATCGTCCTCTATCTACTTTGCTATCAAGCGGTCTAAGCGCTCTCTACAAGCACGGCCTGTCAACTTTACTTCCCTCTGTTCTGTACTGAATACAGCCGAGAGTATTTTCCCGATTTCCTCCCAGTCGGCTGGACATTGGGGTCGTCTGGCAACGGTTTCGGTCGCTAATTTGAGATCATTCGAAGCACATGGCCATCTAAAAGGTGCCATATTCTGCAGAAGGCCAGAAGAGAAGAAAATTTAAACAGGCATAAGATTGACTTCTAAAATTCAAAGCACGTGCTTGATGCCGCCATGTTGTTTTTTTGTCAAGTGGAAGTGTATCACTTTGATCACCCAAAAAACATGAATACTTCGTTCATTCGAGTTCAAAAATCTAACTAGCACATAGAAGGTGGATATAGAAAGCTACTTCATGCTATTAAACGTGAGGCTGTACAATTTTTAGTGGCAAAAAACCTTGCCGTAAGTTACTTACCGCTAGAGGCCTCCTCCGCGGTTAAAACGTGAACTGCAAACCGCAAACGTGACGGCAAGACCGTGGTCACGTGATATTTTGCGGTTTGCAGTTTGCCGTTTCCCATGAAAAACCTGATGCTAAAGGTCCCTAATATGGCAGGAGAGTGTTTTTTTTTGTATTTTCAAGAGCTGTAAATTAATTCAAAAAAGAAGAACTGTTTATATACAAATAGGTATTGAATACATTAAAGTTAATTATATATATCTTTAATTATTAATATATGACCGTGGTGTTTTTCTTATTTTCTCGACTGAATGCATCACTTTTTGGGGGATTTGCAATGTTCAACTACCCAACAACACAGGCTATAAAACTGTTTATGGACTCTTGACATTATCATGCAAACAAGCTGGTTTTTCTGTTACAATTACCAAATGCAGATGGTATCATGCATTGGTTTTTGCTATCTAATACTAATAGCAAGTTATATTAATTTTTTTTAGACTTTTAATTTGGTATATTTATATTTCTTGTAATTGTATAATAAACGATATTGTACGTATTAATAACGCAATTCAGCTGCCTTACCGATCATTATGGAAATAATCTTTTCAGCTGTACATCCACTGGAATTTTTAGTTCACCAATTTGTCCACAGAAATTTACTTTAAAGAAATCAAATATTCGCATCAAAGAGCTTCACTGCAGTTAGTTGCATATCAGAGTACAGCAGCTATAAGTCTTATAAACTATTTCTTACAGGTTAATGTTAGAATTAAAATTGCGTACCCAGCTTCTGTTTTAGTTGTCTGATTTGTTTTTGTATATCTTATCCGTCTTGAACATCTTGTCTTTTTCCTATTACGTTATTCCTCTCCTGCCTGTCTTCATCATCTGATATTTCCAGACTTTCAGGAGGTGTTAAATTTAACTCCTCTTGCCAGTGTTGGTGGTCAACCGGGTCTTCTAATTCTGCCTTCACTGCCGTGGCCACTAGACTGATTTCTCTTTTGGAGCATGATGCTAATAGCATTTCCTTGGCTTGGATTTGCTGGACTTTTATGGCTGCTTTTTGTTGGAGGCGGTTTTGCTCAGCTTTGGATGGTTTCGGTGCTTTGAGTTTTGTTGGACGTTGGTCTTTTCGGTTTGGGTGAGCTTGAGTTCTTGGTCTTTCTTTTCAGCGGGCTTATGGCTGTTTCTGTCTGGACCTGTCCTGGGAAATCAGGATCATTATCAAAACTGTCATAATTATCCTGCTTTGCTCTCTTGCTACTGAAGTCGACGTCCTCGAGATCATCCTCCATGACGAGATGCATACGAATTTGAAACTCACCACAGGGGGGAAGTTTCAATTTTCGGTATCCTTGTAAAAACCTAATTAGGATTCAATTAATAGCCTCTAATCTGTCATGAATTGTGTACTTTGCGTCACTGATGGAAGACGAGCTAAGATGAAAGAAAGATACTATTTGTATCACAATGCAATCTCGCGCGAATTTTCAATGTCAGCGTGAAAGTGGTGCGTTCGTCGTGAAAAGCATCTTCAGTCTCTGGACCCTCGCTTGCCAAACAAAGGTAATCTCATACGCAGTATCAGTGATCAAATGGTTTTAACAACAGATATAATTCATGGCAGGTCAAAATTTTCTGCTTTTTCTGTAGAGATGAAGATTTGGAAGTAGCAGGGCCGATTATTTATAGCTATTTATGATTTGGTCGATAGAACAGATACAACTGGCACTTGAGTCAACCCATCCAGGTTTGGTTTTTCAAACAGGAAAGATCATGTCGTTTCAACCTTAGCATGAACCTTTAACTTGCGCCGATAAAATGCAGACAAAAGCAGGTTTAAAGCGATCAAAGATGGACTAAATTCGTTCCATCTACTAGTAAATATAGTGGGTAGCGGTCAGAGAAGTCAGAGGAAGCGTTTCGTTGTGCAGAGAAGATCTGGAAAAGGTACTTGGTCGTGGATGTCTGAATTGGGGAAATTAAAATGAGGGATTCATTCGAGAAGCAATATGGTATGATTTCCTGACTGTGCAGATGACCGTCGAGTCAGCCCAGCGAGTCAGAAACTCGGGTATTCACGTCGTCGTTGACTATGTAAGCTTAAATGATTTTTATGAAGGGTCGCTGACTGGATTTAGCCCAATCGGTGATGCTCTTCAGCCCTTCTCAATTTTCTAAACATCGGCAGAAGCTTGGTAAGTCTATTTTGGGCTCTTTTGTATCATCTTCAAATGGATACCTATTATCATTTTAGGGCAAAAATGTTTTAAGGTCGACATTGATCACTCGATCATTTTATAAATTCTCAATAACTGGTAATTGTTCATGGACAATGTTGATGGAGATCACCATTTAAGCCTGATCGCAAACAGTTAAGTGTTATCAACTGTCAGTAAAAGTGAGTAAAATTTCATAAACCAAAAATTGATTTACAGATTAAAGCTTTATTTAATTTTACACCGATTAGATCTGTGAAGTTAATTGTTTTAATGTATGAGGAGAGTAACCAAATGAACGAGAGATCTTTAGTAAACAAAGTAATTGCACTTTTGAGCGTTGGTCAAACTAAGGTGGTTGCGAGTTTTAGGTTTGATGTTTCGACTATCTTGTTTGACTCGAATCTCAATTTGAAATGCCTGTATTTGTTGTTGTAATGTTTTTTTTTAAGTTTTATGAGAATTTTGTGCTGGTTGAATGTGGCCGATTGAAATCGAGTTTTTTTTCTTACGGTCACGATTCAAAGTTACTTAAAGTTATTCATAACTTGTGACCAATAATAGATGGTGTAATTTTAAGAACTCCCTTGAATGCATTTTAGTGTGGTTGAGAGAAGATGTTCATGACCGGCCTTTAATTTTACAAACAAAACTAATCCTATAGGAAACATTGATGGTAGTGCTTGTCCAGCATTAAGTAAAACAGCTTGGCCTTCCTGATGCAACAGAGCAGCTCAGCCTTTTTAGGCTGTGGCTCTGTGAGAATTTTATCCTCCAGGTGTCTCAGAGGGAACTAAAAACGCCCTTTTCAGATATTGTTTGAATCCCCGTCTAGCATTAAGTACAACAGTTCGGCCTTCCTGATGCAACAGAGCAGCTTAGCCTTTTTAGGCTGTGGCTCTGTGAGAATTTATACTCCAGGTGTTTCAGAAGGAAATGAGTTTTATTTTTAAGACGTTTAAGCATTTAGTTCCAAGCATTGTATCGCGTTGCTCAAGTGCCCTTTCAAATATTGCAAGTGTTTCACTTACGTTTGAATTTAACCCCATCCAGATCCAGTGAGGCCTTTAAAACAGTGCGTCAATTTTAAAAGTTTTTGCAGTATTGCATAAGGCAGTTTCCGTTTAGCGGTTAGTGTCAGTTCTGGCCTTGAATGAAGATTCCAAGAAAAGCTTAGCATTTACATAAAATTTGGGAGATCTTATAAGCATAAATTGAAATATATGAAATTCGGATAAAGTTATGAAAGTGAACATGATCATCGCATTAAATTCGCAGCCTATTTGGTTGAAAAATAATTGGAAAAATTTTGCAGCATTATCGCAGAAAGTTAGAAGTAATATTATTCATTGTTCGGGAAAATACTCCGCGGCTTTAGATTAATAATTTCCACAATGTTTTAATTCCGGTAGTTTAGTAACCTTTTTGTTAAGGCAGCTTCTAAAATGCACTCGAGAGAACCGCATGTCTCCCTTGAATTCTCACTTTAACTTGCCAGAGAAGCAAAAAGAAAATAGAGTGACATTACTTTCAAACCATTACAGGCTACCTTAGGCCGCGGTTTAAGAAATCATTGGACCTTCAGGCCTCTTTCTTGGTGGGTCAATTTTAAGTCTGCCTTATATGCTTTATTGAAATTGTTCAAGATAAATGGGGTTTGATAAAAGCGTTGGGCAAACTGAAAATGGCTTAATTATAACGCGATTGCTAAGAACCTTAGAGGGTGCCAAACCGTAAGATTTAAATCTAATTTATCTCAGCAAGCAGTCAGGGAGAGATTTAACCTGATCCAAGGCAGATTCAAAGAAACTGAAAGAAAAAACAGAATTTGCTGCATCTGGAATTTCTGCGCCAGAACACGATGAGCTTGATGTACTTCTTGAGAACATAGCAGAAAGAGAAAGAGATGCTATCGCAGAAGCTAGTGAAAAGAAAGATCAGGAGAAGGTTACAGCAGAAGATATCAGAAACCAAGCTTTGGAGCAGATAGGACAAACAAAGAAACGAAAATCTGAAGACGGCCAAGAGCCAAAGGAAAGGAAATCCAGGAGAAGCAGTAATGAGGCTCTCCAGTTTATGCAGGAGAAGGCTGAATCAGACAAGGCACTCCGAGAAGAAGAGCTAAAGATAAGGAAAAAAGAAGAAGAAACCAAAGCTCCTCAATTCCAAGCAATGTTCACCCAGCAGCAATCCTTCTTGCAAGCAATGACCCAACAGCAGGCTCAACAGCAGCAACCGAATCAACACATGCAGATGTTAATGGCACAGCAAAGTCAGGCAATGATGTCTGTTTTGGAAAAACTCTTGTCAAAAGAGTGAAGAGTGTGACAGATCAGTTTCATTCCAATTGAGTTTTACAGCAAGAAGTGTTAGATTAAAAGACATGTGAAATCGTTCCAAGTATTGTAGCAAAGTTGTGTTACGGAGTCAGCTACTGTATTTTAAAGGTAATTTATTTTGAATTTGCCTGGAAGGTCATCACAGTGTGCTTTTATTTTTAATTTGTTTTTAAAAAGGTTGAAACAACCAATGTTACTCAAAAAAAATTCCACCCTTAAGACATAAAACATATAAACAAATATGGCTCTTGTTTTCACAACTAACCTCGAATTCAAGCAAAAATTACTTTTGTGTTTTTACATGAATTAAAGGCCAGAAAGGTGAAAACAAAGGCTTTTCTCATTGGCTATCACATTTTTCAAGTTCATATCTTTATTTGCAAAAGGCTGGTCCTTTACTGACAGTCTCAAAAGTCATATGTGAGATCAACTCTACAGCATTTTTTATAAGACTGAATCATTACATGACATACAGTTTCTAAATGCAAGTGTGATATGCCTTTACAGAACCTAGTGTCGTAAAAATAATCAAAATCTTGAGGTATACATAGTATGTTGAGGTTTGTCACCCTTGAGAACTGATGCTGTGACCCCAACATGTTTCCAACAATTCTCATTAAATCCAGCAAAACTTCTGAGAATGTGTAAGTGCTCTTGTTTTCATTGCTGTGTTGCTAATTTACACTATAAAACCATAATGCTTGAATTATTAACGATCATTTTCAAAACAGTTAACCTAAACTGTAGCACTAATGCAAAATAAGTTTCAAGTTCGGGAGGATTGCACTGGAAAAAATCTGAGGTTGTGTTTCCATATAGACATGTTAGTCCATTTCTAAGAATAGCACTGACGATGTACATTTTCCCCACACTACTCAGTCCCAACTTTAAGTTCCTTTTTAAAGTCCAGAAACTTTAAGTAATTGATTATGTCTCCGAACAGCCACTCCACACTTGTTCTCACTGAGCTCATAGCAGTATTGTAAGCTTCCATCTGTGGGGTTAAAACTCCATTTCTAAATGGACATTGAAGGTGTACACGGATGGGGTAAGCAGGATCCCCGTAAATACAAAGTGGTTGTCCAGCCAGGCTAAAGGCGTACTGACAGAGATCATCCAAAAGGTGAGACTCAGGAAGCATACCTGCATCATGCTTTCTTCCCTCTGCAACAAAATTCATGGACAGTAGGAGTGTTAAAGTTGAGTCAGATAAGAGAAAAAGTCTTATAACATTTTGTTAAAAGAACATTGAAGCATCAAGGGTCTCACAGGAATATTTGATTAATTTTTCTTGTAACTATTACAATTCAGGAAAAAATGAAACTAGTTATTTGTTCATTGATATATTTATTACGAACTGAAGAGATTTTGTATATAAAAAACATGCGTTCCTTTAGACATAGTCAGCTTGGCTACGAGGTAATGCGAGTGAAGTGTTTTAATTTGTAAGAGTGTTTTTTTAATTTCTCATGAAAAAGCATTTGTATGTTTCCAAGAAGTTTCATTTCAAGCGATTTCTCAAGATGAAAAGAAAAAAAATACACTTAAGCAGTTGCCTCCTCACCCTATAAACCCCAGTTTCAATTTTCTAAAGAAAAGACAACTTACCGACAGGGCTATACATATTTGCAATCATTCCATCTGAGGTAACAACAGACTGAAACTTGATTCCATGGACACGTTTGTGTCCCTTGTAAAGCAACCTCTGGTTTACAGTGCCGGGCCTACAAATAAGGCGAACTGTCCCATCAAAAAAAGCAAAACAGTTATTAAGTGGGGCTCCTTTTCGGTGAACAACTTTGGCAAATCTTTCAAGATTGGCTTGGCTTAGTTGCTGGTGATTCCACTGCAGAATGCGATGGCTGTGAGCTTGATAGATATAATCCAAAACTTGATTTGTAATCATAGACAATACAGGAACCGGCTTAGCAAACAAGTGGACCATATCGCTGTATCGGCAAGGGTATACCTGCCAACTTTTTCTGAGATGTAAGCGTGAGATTTTTATCCTGGGAGTGCTGGGATTTTTTGAAGACGACACGATCATTTCCGAAGATTCCCGGAGAATTCCGGAGTCTTCCGAAGAAGTCCGAAGACGTCCGAAGTCTGCCGAAGGCGAAGTTATCGAGTCCCAGTCTTTGGACGCGTATAAACGCGAGCTCGCTCCCAGTGCTTTTCACTTCAAAAATCAGAGATCGCGAGGAAAGTATTGTCATTTATTCATTTTACGCATGGTTTTCGTTCCTTACATGGGTCTGAGTTAACATATTTTTGGAAATTGTGTCAAGCAAGACAGCAAAAACTCACATTTTTCAATCAGGCATGAGAAATTGGCCCGCAAGCGTGAGCCAGCGTGAGATCGAAGTTTTCAACCCGCAGGCGTGAGAGTTGGCAGGTATACAAGGGTAGCACAACCGCTTCAAAAGCATGCATAGTCCTTCAGTTCCTTCGCAATCCCTTGGTGACAAATTATAACATCAGGAATCCGCAAAGCCTGAGAAAGCCTTGGGATATCAGTTTTCCTGGACCGAAATTCGGCCACACATTCATCTTCGGTCAGGTTTTGGAGGTCGAAATGTGGATACAAGTCACATGGCAAGTCCAGGTTTTTCGGGCTGTAAAGGTCGTATAGTAAGAGAAATTCGGCGTCATCGAGGACTTTCATGTCATAGTAGAGCACTATAAGCTCTCTCAATTCTTTCCAATAAACCATTTCTTCTAAATAAACATACCACAACCAAAACACTTAGAGCCGAGTCTGATTTGTTTACATCGAGTTTGACTTTGCCGTGCTACACAAAACTTAATCAATTCGAGTTTTGGCGGGAGACGGCGTAGTCGGCCCAGTCTCTTTCGGTTACGTCCACTGTACCAGAGCTTTGCTGTAGTGGATCTTAAAGTCCCTACTGTTCTTGAGGAAAGCGACAAAGAAGTAAGTGACGACAAGGACTTAGGAAACGTTGGTATAGGACAAAATGACTTAAGCAAAGGGTCAGAGAACGAGATGGAAGAGCCTGTTGATGAAGGCCACAGTATGCCATGCTATGTTAGCATGCTTCTAGTTTTAACGTATGCCATAATGCACACAATTACAGGAATTCAATTTAGTGACTTGCTTGTTATGCTTAGTCTTCACTGCTTAACACACCCCAAACATTTGAAAAGTGTTTATGCTTTGAAGAAGTACTTTTCTTCGATACAGAATCGTCTTATTATCCATAAGTACTGTAGCTTTTGTTTCTTGTTGATTAAAAGGGAGGAAAAGCAATGTACAAAATGTCAACAAAATTTAGAGAAGTAGGGTTCAACAGCATGTTTTATCGAGATACCAATTATTGAACAGTTGCGAGACTTATTTCAAAAGTCAGACTTTATTCCGAACATTCAGAAGAGATTTGAAGGGAAGCAGATACGTGGAATGTACAGTGATATAATGGATGGCAAACGTTATAGAAGACTATCCGAAAATAATGATCCCCTTTCTCTCAAGTATCCATACAACATATCCTTCACTTGGAATACTGATGGCGTGCCTGTATTTAAGTCTTCTAAGTTTTCCTTGTGGCCATTTTTTCTTACCATAAACGAACTACCATACAAGGAAAGAATGAAGAAGGAAAACATGATTTTTACCGGTTTTTGGTACGGACCACATAAGCCCTTCATGCTTACATTTTGTAAACCAAACCACGAGAGTATTCTCAAGTTGGAGCAAGACGGTGTGACTATTGAAGTAAGCTCAGGAAATGAAATAGTACAGGGCGTACCCAATCGATGAAAATCGATGATCGGAAAAGCAATCGATCAATCGATGCCAATCGATGCATGTCAGTTAATTGGCATCGATTGGTATCGGCCAATCGATGACCAATCGATAATCACACAAAAGTGTTCATGAATCATCGATTGTCATCGATTGGGGTTTAATATTTTCTCTGATCAAAAAGATTACTTCAATGTATCACATCAAAACGAAGTTATTTCGTACGACATTTGGTCCATTTGACAATTTTAACTACGCAATGGTTGCGTCGTACCTAGATCCGATGCAAAACATTTAATTCATTTTTCTTAGTTTTCCAACAGGTCTCTGCCCACACGCTGAGAACATGGAATTGTCAGTAACAGTCAGTTCTATCCAGAATTCTGAGAATTACACCGAGCTGAAATCGCGTGTGACGTAGAACAGCGTACAACAGAGTCAAAATACAACAATCAACTCAACTATGTGTTGCTTTGGAAGTTTTAAATCATAACATAACTGTAATTAAACACAGTAAAACATGAATAAAATAAATTCACAAATGATTACGCATGTTCTGTATTTTATCTGAGTTTATTCATTCTAAGCTCAGCGTCAGCTGCATCACACATTAGTTTAATCTGGTTTAATCAGTAGCCTCTGTCAGCCAGTACTGCCCCGGTGTATAAGACTTGGCTCTTTCCAGGCGGCGGTGATTTTGAAACCAGGTGGATACCTGTAGAAGAAAAAAAAAAAATATGTTTTAGTTATTATGAAATTGTTCCCATTATTAGCATAAATCCTACTTTTTTTCAGTCTTTTTTTTACACTCTGCGCAACAGTGACCCTGACCGCAACAATAGTCACTGGCATAATGCAAGCGCGCAGACAGACACTTGGGTAACACCAACTCACCCACGTGTAGCGAAGGTGTAGCCAGTGTAGCTAATTTTTCAGTCATGACTTCAATAATCAGAATTTCGCTTCTGGTGATCCTTTTTCTGCCGATTTTGAATACCTTTGGTGCACCTCACACGAGCCTTGATACTATCCTGAAGCAGCTTAATTCTTTGGGATGTTCGATTTCTTCGCCAGACAACTTTGAAAGCAGTTTAAGATGCGATGCTTGTCAAGTGACTATAAGTTATCCGCAGAAAACCTATCAAGCTGTTTGGATGCTAAAACGGCATTCAAGGGAGGCGGTTCATCAAGTGAAAGCTGGTTGGATACTTGACAATAAAAACAATGTAAAACGATCCAAGCCGAGAGGTAAATTTTACTGATTTTAGCACTCATTTTACGTTTATAAAACATCAGAATACCTGGTCCTTTTCCAGGCCCAGTGATTTAAGTCAGTCGCCGATCATCGAGCTTGTCGGCAGCCCTTTGATGCTTTATAAATGGTGTCCATTGCAGCGAGCTCCATTTTGTCAAACATCTTTCTTTTTTTGGGTCCGCTGTTTGGGTCTGTTTGAGCTGTGTCTGTGCCCTGCACAGCCTGCAGGCTCAGCTCGCCCTTACCTTTACTTCTCTGACGGTGGAGAAAACCAGAGAATATCAGAGAAAACACATGCAAAATAACAGAAGTAACGAAGTAAATATGTGTAATATATAAGATATTCAGGATATTTCAGGTTTTTTTTCCCAAAGATAATTAGATCCGTTGGGTGTGGCATTTCCTATTTCACACGTTTTACTTTGCGGTTATTTACTTTTCCTGGTTTTTATTTAATTAAAACCAGAAAACCCTAGGACATAGCAGTGATGTGGTCACAACAGCGCCTTAGGAATTCAGCGAAATATACTCACCTTTCCTTTCTAGCAGGTTTTTTTGTTCGTCCTCACTGCCAAAAAAACTTTTTCATTGCTTCCCACGGTTCTCTTCCAGCGCCCGGCTGGGAAAGTAGAGGGCGGGTTATTCAACAGCGTGGATAACGTGCCCTGCGAGCGTCGGACGATTTCTTTTGCAAGAAATGCAACTGAGATGGTCGGGTGTTTTTGAATGAAACCTCTCACAGCCTTTGCGATCGTAGATGGAGTTTCTGTTTCAGCCACCTCTCCCTCGCCTGCTAGATTTAAAGAATGAAGTGATTGATCGGATTATAATAAACTGAAAAATGCCTGCAATTGCATGCGCAAACTACTGAAACTAGAAACGGCTACATATGATTCTAGCTTGCTTTGAAAGTGTATGAAGTGCTGCTGAACTTACAGTGAACCTGAGTGAACTTACCATCGAAAACCTTGCCCCCACATCCTTCGACAAATTGGAGCACTTTCTCCTTTTCGAGGCCGGTATTTCTACAGTGATCTGCAAAAAACGTGACGATTAATTATAAGTTTTTGCCGGTTTCGCCATGAATGAATCAGTTCACCTCGACTAATGATTGATTGTGTCCTGATTGCGGTACCAGGGGTCAATTCAATAAACCTTTTACAAGTGTAATTTACAAGTGTAGCTATTCTGAGCTATTGTTTCAGAGGTTGAAAACAATAGCTACACTTGCAAACACGTGTAAAAGTTTTATTGAATTGACCCCAGGTTTACTGACCTTCAGCTTAGCCGATTCTTCGCTTGCTTCAGTTTGAACGATTTCGTTATTATTCACAGTGACTGTATTATTAGCCATAATGACCTTGTGTAGACTTCTGAGACTTGTGACACAAAACAGCAGTAAAACAGAGATACGCTCGCAGAATACCGAATTTGTTTTGAGCGCTTTCGAATGAAATCTGACGAACTGGAAAGAACAGCTGATTTACATCCAACACCACGTGTTTCCTGAGCGTTTCGGGAAAACAATGAATGAAACCACATCCGCGGCGAAGCATGACATGACATGACAGGCATACAGACTAAAAAAAAAAATTTTTTGCAACACTGTAAACGTCCTGCTTCACTGATTGAGTATATCAGAGTTTTTTTTTTGAAAGTAAAACGAAAAGGGTTTTGAAAGTGTTTACAAGGGCTTTCAAGGGTTTACAATCGTTTTTAAAGTGTTTGGTGTTAAGGGTTTCAAATGCCCGTCCCCGGGTTCAAATGGCCAGTCGAGTGAGTGAGTCACAGGGATAACAACCTTCCTGATTCTGAACACGTCGTGACTTTGATCAGCTGCTTTGATTTGCCTGCGGGGGAGGTTGAGCAGAAAAATACTTGATCAAGTTATTGTTCTCAACAGGATGCAGAGATATGACAGACTTTTTTTTTTCCAAAACGAGCAAAGGAACCTCTTCAAAGTCTTCCTCATCAGGAGTACATGTCTTACCAACATCAAGACCAGACCAAGAGAGGACCTTAGTATCATCACTGTTGGCAAGCGCGATATTGACCAAGTTAGTCCAATACCTGTTTATTATTGTTATTATTCGTTCTGCATTGCTTTAACAATAATTTAACTCAGTATTTCTTAGTTTTAATAATGACCTTCATTGGGTCTTTATTTCAGTTATTTATGAAGAGAACTTTGTTCCTATCGTTTTGTTATTAATTCTATATCTTGTAAGAATTGCCGCATAACAAGCCACAGCAAATGAGCCGCATAACAAAACCGTTCATGTATCTGAACACGGCTAACTCCTCGAGCGTCCCCGACTTCGGCGTGCCCAACTCTGCATGAACCGCTCTGCCATCCACGTTCTCAGCATCACTCGATCCTGAGTAATCCCGCTATCCGAGCGCCTTCTACATCGCTCTACATAGGCTCCATTTCTCGGTTCAGTAGTAATGTTGTACAGTAGTACTCTTCTCCAGTCTTCTCAGTACCCAACAGCACACCTTGTAATTTCGCCCACCTTATTTTGCTCTGATAATTTTATCTTTTAGATCGAGTCAAGGACAAAAATTCAAATTGAAAAAGAACTTGGAACAAGACTCGGAAGGTCAATTGCAAAGTCCAGTACATCTACAACAACGCAACCCAAACCTGATAAAACTACTTTGGACATTTCTGTAGAGGAAATAGTGAGGGACAATGTTAACAAATTCCAACGGGAACAATTGGCCATGGCAAGAAGTGTACAAAAAGTAATTTTGTCGCTCACGCTAGCATCCGTCAGAACCGCGGCAACTATTGGTCCCGAAATTCTAACTACGTTAAGTACAGAGGTAGAAAAGTTCAAGAAAAAGCTTTACGACAAATGAAGATCGTCCTTGAAATGTCACAAATATCATC